TGGGTTTACCTATAATGCGAAGAGATGGCGCTGCCTTGCAGCTTAAGAATAGCTAGAAGAATTTCGACGCGGTCCGTGAGGGCCGCGGTAGCATAATTGGTCAGTGCATTCGCCCGGATTGCGAAGGGTGCGGGTTCGAGTCCCGTCTGCTGCCTGGTCCGCGTGGAATTTTTTCTAGTTATATTTTCTTTAGATTTAAACATCAAGCAGTTACATGCTTTAAAATAATAAAAATTGGAACTATAATTGCTATTTCTTCTTTCAAATGTTTAATACTTGTAAAAGATTCATTTGACATTGTGGGTTACCTATAATGCGAAGAGATGGCGCTGCCTTGCAGCTTAAGAATGGCTAGAGGAATTTCGACGCGGTCCGTGAGGGCCGCGGTAGCATAATTGGTCAGTGCATTCGCCCGGATTGCGAAGGGTGCGGGTTCGAGTCCCGTCTGCTGCCTGGTCCGCGATGATTTTTTTCTAGTTATATTTTCTTTAGATTTAAACATCAAGCAGTTACATGCTTTAAAATAATAAAAATTATAACTATAATTGCTATATCTTCTCTCAAATGTTTAATACTTGTAAAAGTATTCATTTGACATTTTGGGTTTACCTATAATGCGAAGAGATGGCGCTGCCTTGCAGCTTAAGAATAGCTAGAAGGAATTTCGACGCGGTCCGTGAGGGCCGCGGTAGCATAATTGGTCAGTGCATTCGCCCGGATTGCGAAGGGTGCGGGTTCGAGTCCCGTCTGCTGCCTGGTCCGCGTGAATTTTTTCTAGTTATATTTTCTTTAGATTTAAACATCAAGCAGTTACATGCTTTAAAATAATAAAAATTATAACTGTAATTGCTATATCTTCTCTCAAATGTTTAATACTTGTAAAAGTATTCATTTGACATTTTGGGTTACCTATAATGCGAAGAGATGGCGCTGCCTTGCAGCTTAATAATGGTTAGAGGAATTTCGACGCGGTCCGTGAGGGCCGCGGTAGCATAATTGGTCAGTGCATTCGCCCGGATTGCGAAGGGTGCGGGTTCGAGTCCCGTCTGCTGCTTGGTCCGCGTGGAATTTTTTCTAGTTATATTTTCTTTAGATTTAAATTTAACTAGTCTGTTGTAGTCACACCAAAAACATAAATAAAATTAACCTTACAGTAATTAAGAAAGAATTAATTAAACTGCGAATATTGCTTTTTGAACACCACCTTCGTAAGAAAGGGCCTGTCGTCAATATGAAGTCATATTTATCATGGAATGGACCAGTCAAGTAACGTATTTTTAATCTGCCTTTTATAAAGACGTAGCTTATCTGACGGGCTGAGAAATCAAGAGTATCCTACTAATATTATAAATGTTGAAGTTTGTAATTATGTTTGTGTTTCTGTATGTTTGTTACTCAATCCACGCAAAAACTACTGTACGGATTCGGCTGAAATATGGAACGCATATAGATTGTGACCTAGACTGAGACATAAGTACTGACAACCTCCGTGGCTGAGTTGTTTGTACGCCGGGTTTTAATGGTGTCGCCTACTCGAGAGGCCCCGGGTTCGAATCCCGGTGGGAGCAGATGTTTGAGTGCATGCATTTGTATTCCAGTCATGGATATATAAATATACTTATGGATATGTATCAGTGTATGTATTCTATCCGTTACCCTAGCATTCCATGACACAAGCCTACAGTGCTTACTTTGGGGCTAGGCTAATTGATGTGAGTGTTGGAAATAATATATTTATTTATCCTGAAAAATTGTAAGGTTCTTGTGGGATTCGCAAATAACTAAAGTTTACGGGGATAAAGTCGCGGACAGCCGCTAGTAGTTGATAAATCGTGACACAGCAATATTATCTTAAAATGTTGATAAATGTAAATGTAATATCTGGGCAATGAAGGAAAATAAAAATATTGTCGCAAAAATCGAAATACGAATTGCAAAGCTTGTACTGTGTCTACAGAATAGTCAAGGCAGGTATTGCTGCCATTTATTTCCTTGAAACATGACATTCAAAAAAAATTGAGAAGGGTTCTCGGGGTTGGCTTGGCAACGCAAAAAAAAATAATAGAGGTACCTATAAACTGTTATGAAATATAACATTTCACTCTCAGTATCAGCTCAAGGGTGATGTTACCTAGCCACTTTGAGTCTGCGACTGTGATAGTCAAGCAACTTTTGCATTGGCTGAACTTTTTTGAAAAGGATATCTTTTATTATACCAATTCGAGAGAAAAATCTGCTATGCCGTACCTCTCTCAGAAACTGAAATTTTTGAGGTAGGCTATTGTTCACTGCAAGGTTAGTTATCCTATGGCCCGTTTTCTATACTTTACCAACAGGGAAGGCTCTTGTGCCCTAACGGTAAGCTGATGTTGAATAGGCTTTGCAGACTACAATAAAGCGTAATAGTTCGTACTCACGTACGGTTTTACTAAATCGAGTAAATATGTCGAGTAAAAACCACGACACGAGCTTTCGTCCACACATTCAGCATGAATTGATCGAGCAACGCGTGACGTTCATTATTCACCAAACCATTTGACCTTAATAATGTCTGTTCAAAAAAGGAAAAAACGAAGGAAAGAAAGTGACTGCATTTAGCAAGTCTCGCAATTTCGCGGACACTTACATACGCTCGAGTCAAGATCGGGTGCGAAATAAATTATATTCATTTAATTTCATCGAGCCGGTTCGATGCGAGCCTACGAGTTGTGTGTGATTCATACGTTGTTTTAATCGCTTTAAAAAAACGACGGGTTGCACTCCGGGAGTGCCGGCAGAAGTGAAAACTAGAATATTAACGTTGTGCATTTTTGATATTTTGGAATGGTTAGGGAATAATTTTGCACAAATTGCTTTAATTATCAGTATAAAAATACTATCATGTATGTGCTAGAATACAATATTTATTTATTGCGCTATCGTAAACAAACGACAATTTATATTACATTAAAAAACTTTATCTTTCAGAAAAATCAACTTACATGAATCACGTTTAAGCGCACTTAGCGACATCTATTGTAAAGAAATCAACTTACGTGAATCACATTTAGGCGCACCTAGCAAAATGCATTTTCTTCGCAATAAAGCTGCCACGTGGACGTCCTAGATCGAGACTTTTTATTATAATACGGTAAAATAAAATATTACTATGTTTCGTCCAATATATTGAAAGTCAACAACCTTTTCAATTTTATTGTGTGTCATGATGCGATCAGCCCACGTGTTTAACCTGACGCGAGTTTAAAATTTTTTTGCCCATACAAAAAAAAAAAGTGTACAACGCCGCTAAAGAAGATTTCACTTCAAGAAACAATCAAGTAATGCCGTATGTGAGTACGGACCATAAACATAACGTGGGTAAAGAAATCGGATAAAAAGATTTTCTTGGTTAATATTATCCATCTTCATAAATGAACTAAATATCCTCCATTCCAACATCTGAGACTTGATAATAATCCTTTTGGTCATGTATCAGTCTTACTAATTACATTAAGCAATGTTAGGTAGCTTGTATTCTTTTATTACTTATACGTTACACGACCTATTTCTTTCAGATAATTAATTTCGGCATATTGCTCCTCTAGTAATAATATGTTATCCAGTAAAACAATATTTATCCTCCACAATATATCGTGTTGAAATGATAAATTGCTTATTCTTGACATATTGTCTATGATGGTGGTTTGAATCACAATCATTATGTTTGTGTTTAATAATTTATTATCCATAAAATATAGTACGTACGCCCCCTATGTAAACAAGGGCTCGTTCAGTCGCTAAGGGAGACAGCAGCCGCTTCTAACTCACTTTAAATGTTGAGTCTTACTCGTATGATAACCTAGCAGCCGTCCGCGACTTCCTCAGCGTTATCTTAATTTTTTGATATCCACAGAAACTTACATTTTTCCTGGAAAAAAGTATCATAATATCTCAATCCAGGTCAAAAACTAAATGTGTACCAAATTTCAACCATATCCGTTCAGTAGTTTTAATGTATAATATATGACTCGTGATTGAGTAACAAACATACCAATAAATATTAGTAGGCTTAATAAATCATAAATTTCGATCATCGTGCGAGAGCAAGGCCTATGAGTGGCGTGAGCGTGGCATGTACGTACAAACGTAGCGGGAAAATTATGCGGGAGGTGCGCGGTTGGAAATCGATAAACGGAATTAGATATTTATTGGTGTAAAATACTAATTTATATGCCACCAATTTCAATGCGTGTTAATCGCGGGTGGTGCCGCGCGAGGCTTTCGTATAGCATGCACGATTCGTCTGAACAAGGCCTAAGGTCATTGAACTTATCTTTATATGCTGATTCACTCTCGTATTCCATAGAGTTTCACATTAAAGCAAATGCGATCGAGTAATTAAAAATCTTTCTTTCAGCGCTCTGAAACTAAATTAATTCTTATGAAAATATTGAGAAAGCCGCAGTGAGTTGTTTCATTAAATACTAAGCTAATTTTCATAGTACACAGAAGGGTGACAGGGTGATAGCTGAAATGCTAAAATACGTACAATTAACATTGCATACTACCATTGTTACCACGATACGCCTGTTTATTTTGCTACAAAACCTAATTAAGATAGTCGAAATATATCTTTTGTCCCCTGAAAATCTTATTTAAATCCAGAACTGTATATGGAAATTCAGAGATACCGTCCCTATGCACTTTATAGATTACTAGCTAACACCAGCGACTTCGTCCCGTTGATTTTAATTATTTGGGAATCCCATAGGAACCTTATATATTTATATGTCTAACTGCTTTCAATATATTTGCTTCTATATTGCGCGCTTCTCTAAATTTCTGGGCACAAATGAGTCCGAGGTAAGTTCGAGGCGGACACTTTTTCACGATTTGAGGAATCTTATCAACAGTTATGAGTATCTGCTCTAGTATTCCCTTAACTCAGGCAATATAAACATCACGTTTATTGTTAAATGGGCCCTAAGAGTATCCGCTCTAAACATGCATTTGTTTTTCAGTGCGAACCTGGCCTAGGAGCGAGTGTGATGTACAACCTGCTTTACAACCCGCCCCAGAAGTTGCTGTTACTGGCCGGCTGCTCCACCGTCTGTACGACCGTTGCAGAGGCTGCTAAGATGTGGAACCTCATGGTTGTAAGTATTTTCATCATCATCAGTTTTTAATGTCCTCTGGGTCATAGGTCTATTATAAGTCAGTATAGGTCCACGTGGGCCAAATGCGGATGGGTGGATTAACGTGCCTTCTGAAGTACGGAGGAGCTCGAGATATTAAGTTTTTGATCACCCATCCAATCACAATTAAGGTATTTTATTTTTCGCTGACGACGTACGCAATTTTCTTTATCTTGACTTAAAATAATTCGATACTCCTTTCGACCAGTACCTGAACAGTTACAAGTGTTAAAGGCATCGAGTTGAAGTAATTTATACATTTAAATATCTTATACATATTTGAAACTGTGCTTCTGTGACAACAGTGGGCTCTTTTTGCTCAAGAGATTGCGTATAAAATATGAGTAATCAAACACTCGTTTTATTATCAGTCGTAAACGAATATCGTGTTTCGCTAATTCGCCGTCTGAACTGTGTTTCGTATTCAAATCGGTTAAATTTTCGAGCGGAACACTCGTTTAGGGGAGTGCAAAATACATTTTCGTTACAAATATTTTAGGTTAAATATATTTAATGGAGTACTTAGAGAATAACAGTATTACCAAACACGATGCTTGGGTTCATATAACTGTACTCACATTACCGTAAATCAGGTTTCGACTGACACTTAGATAAATAACGTCATTTGATATCACTTTGTTTATTTTCTTTAAAGAAGTGTCGATTCTCGAATTCTGGTTAATTAGTAATATTTACAGAGGGTGATGTATCAAATCAACGTTATGAATAATACTATATTTCATTTAATAAATCATACTGTTAATAGCATTATCAAATATGAAGTTTAAAATATAAAAAAATAACCGAAAATAAAATAAAAAAGGGAAATGAGATAAATCTAAAGAAAATCTTACTAGAACAAATTCCACTCGATCCAGGCCTGTCTAACACCTGGAGTGATTTTTTTCTAGTAAAATAGTTTTTAGCATTTTATTGCTTTAATAAAAATGTTACTTATTAGACAAGCTTACAAGAGTATTAATGACAAATGATTCGCTGATCGTTATTTAAAGGTAAAAAAAAGAAATTCGACCTAGAAATCAATTGAAATATAAACTGGTCCCGCGTGAACCTTTTTTGCTTCAGAAATCATAGTAATAACACAATGTGTTCACTCATATGGTGGCATTTAATTAGGCTTATTTATTACTTTGTGTTAGTTATTTTTTAAATGCCAATTATCATTTTAGTGATGTCAACAAATCACTGCGTAACTTTTCCAACCAAAATCTTCTGCTATTAATGAAAAAGAAAAAAACATCGTTAATGTATAATTCCTAAAATTTGAAGAGTACACAAGGCAAGGCAAACGCTTCATTTCACTTTGAAATTTATACCTACTTGCTGGATATAAATAATTTGGAGGTATAAATTTCAAAGTAAAATAAAGCGTTCATAAAGGGAGTTTCTCCCTATTTTTGGTAATATTTTATTGAAACAGAGTTTATCGACTGTATACGTTAGTAATTTCCTTTAATGAGGTTTAGCGACAAAATATTATTTTTAATATCAGCTGCGTCACCTACTTACTTTCTTTACTACTGGAATGTTGTCCATTAATCACGGGGATAGGGTTAAGAATTTTTAATATTTTGTAAAATATTGCTTTAGTGCGGTGGCACGGATGAACGTTCTTTATCTTCTACAAGGATCTAGTTTGGGAGTCAACCTATACAGATAACGGAACTGAGCATAAATTTTTAATCTCTTTTTCATAGTAAATAGGAATCATGTATTTACTAAGTCATAAAATATCTAACTAGCAACAAAGTTCTGATATTATTCGTAAGTGTAAGTTTCATAAATCTTAAATTACGTTTAATCAGAAATGCATCTCTGATAAATCTGAGTTCCCATTTACTGCTTGGGTCGACATGGCACCGACCCCAAATATTAATTGGACCAAAGTTAAAAAGGTTTTTTTTATTTCCGGCTTCTCGGTTTCTTCAGCGGTTAAATTTTGTTTTTCCAAAGATTTTTTATTTTGTAATGTTTTTTGATATTAATATTTGTAATATACAACTGGGCATCAAAATATGTGAGTGAACAATCACCTTATGATTAGATTTTTGTTTCCAAATTTGTCTAAGTATCAAAATCAGACTTCTCAGTAAAAAGTTATGCGTATATACGCGTCGACTTGATATTCGCCTCCGTTTTTGTTTCGTCGGTTGAAAATAGTGTTTAGAACTCATTCAAAAACGTATGATTAACCAAATTTGCATATCTTCGCAGCTGTGCTACGGTGCCTCATCGCCGGCGCTCTCGGACCGAGCGCGTTTCCCGACCTTGTTCCGAACGCACCCTTCGGCAACTGTCCACAACCCTACGCGGATTAAGCTGATGCAGAAGTTCGGCTGGTCCCGCATCGCCATACTGCAACAAGCCGAGGAAGTGTTCATATCGGTGAGCGTGTTATGTTTTTGTTTGAAAGTTTACTATCACGCATCTTTGGAATCTATAACATGGTTCGTGACCGTCTGTATTTCGTGGAGAATTTAAATTTGGAACGTATAGAATCATGCCAGGATGCTTCAAATAACATGCCAGAATGCTAAAACATCAAATTAATAAAACCTCTTTCTTGTTAAATTCATTGAAGAAGAGAAAAAAAAAACTAAAGTGCCCGTTTTTTTAAGGTCCATCCTCCATACGCTTGTTGTTGGTTACACATGAAAAGTATGTCAAACAAAGTGCCAAAAGCCGATCAAATCACCCAACATAAACAGGCCTCCTCACGCTTAGTGTTTGTTACAAACGCCGAACACACCAAACAAAGTGCCAAACGCCAATCACAATCACCCAACACAAACAGGCCTCCTCACGCTTGTGTTGGCTGTTTGCCGTCTGTTCGCCAAGCATGTGGAGGCCATTAAATATTTTGTTTGATAGTTAACATCATACACCTTTGGAATATATAAAATGGTTCATGTCTGTCTGTTCTGCACGGAGATGCACACATTTTTTTTTTGTTTATCTTCTGATTCAAGCCTAGAAACTTGGTCATGTAGTAATTTGTGGTCCCTAAATCTGAAACGGATGACGGTCCACCCAGGGGGTGGGGTGGAGCGGATCAGGGTCACCTAAAAATCAAAAATATTTTATTATTGTTACATGTTAAGATATCATTAAACTATCAAACACCTCGAGTTTGTACGACAGTCGGTAATTCATGGTTTTTAATATCCGTCGCAGATTACATTCTACCTCCTTAGGCAAGCGCACGTTTGGCCACTAATCGCGGCCACTAAACGCGACCACTAGTGGCTCAGTCAAGCCACTAGATGCATCCACCAATCGAGAGTAATCGAGTGGCTTAGTTAAGCCACTAGTAGTCGCATTTAGTGGCAACGATTAATGGTTCAATATGCACTTGCTCTTAAGGTCGTAGCAGACGTATCAACTCGGAAAGGGTTCATCATCGTAGTTAGAGTTTTCTTTTTTTCGTAAATTGTAATTATAACTGTCAAATATTTATTAATAAAATAATAATATTATGTTTATTCAAGTCGTAACTATAAAATAATTAATCGTTTTAAATTCAAATAAAAACAAAATAATATTTACGTTAGGCAAAATTCATAGAATAAAAACCACTCAATTGCCACTAGATAGGCTGAGGATATAATCTGGTAGAATAAAAATATATTTGTTGATTTCAAAAAGATATTCTACAATAACATTTGCTATTATCAATCCTAGTATTAAAATGTTTTATTTCTAAATATCATCGCACTTATTTATTAAACAATCGGCCGCCAGCGATTTCGTCCTCATTTTATTTTAGTTTTTTTCATAATTCCACAGAAACTTGTAATTTTTCCATGATAAAAAGTATCCTATGTCTCAATCCAGGTCGTAAACCATAGGCGTAACAAATTTCATCCAAATCTGTTTAGTAGTTTTTGTGTTATTGAGTAACAAATACACAAACATACGAACTTTCACAATTATATATTAGTTGGATTACTATGTATGCGAACGAAGGGAAAAAGTATCGTAGCATGTATCGTATGGACGTACGAGTAGCATGGACGCGATAGTGCCGTAGCGCGTAGCGTATAGACGTAGCATGGAGTCGTAATGTGGTGGCCACGAAATTAAATGTAAAGGTGGAACCTTAAAAGTAAAACTAAGACTCCATTGTCTCTCTGTCTCTATGTCTGTCTGTCGGTCACAAAGCTGTATCTCTGTCTGGAATTCGGAAAAGGATAAATACTAAATTTTCTGATGAAAATAAAACATAAATTGGGCCATGAAATTTTATGTGACACAGAATTAAGTTATTTGTATGCTTTTTTACAATGGCAGAAGATGCTCAGATCCACCTAAATTTTGGATAAAATTTAGTTCAAATTATTTTCTTTTAGTTTTCATCATAATTAATGAATAAATTTAAGTCTAAAGTGTCACCGTTGAATTCTATTGAATTATTTCATCATACCTCATTTGCCGTTACAACTAAGTATAGGCAAAAAAATAGTATATTTCATAGGAAATCTCTTTTCAATAGCAAATAAATAAAACACTGAAAAAATCAAAAATTAAGTCATCGACACCTGAAACTGGCTGTGTTTAATGAAGACGGTGTGTTTTTCAATTTTTATATTGTAAAATATGGTCGTTTCTAGGGTTCCAATTCCAAAGTGGGACAGAATTCTATTAAAATGCTTCCGCTGTCTGTCTATCTATCACGCGGTTCTATATATTAAACAGAAATAGAAACAAACAAACGTATGAACGTACTGCACAGCAACAGTTTCATAACTTATCTTATAGCCTATAGGCAATTCATCATCATCAGCCTATTAATGTCCCCACTACGGGGGTACAGGCCTTCCCTATGGATGGAATAGGGAGATTGGGCCATGACCCACCACGCGGGCCCAGTGCGTGTTGGTGGGTGCTAACGACTGCAGATGCAGCCGGGACCAACGGCTTAACGTGCCTTCCGAAGCAAGGCGGAGCTTCTGGATATCGGTCTTCGGTGGATTATCATTAATAATTATAAGTGAACTGCTTAAGTTGTCTCGTATATCAAATATTTGTACTGGTAGAACACCTGTGTTTGAAATTGGCGCACAATAAGGACTCTGAGTGGGTGACCACGTGGACATGAAACGCTTCCAGCGCGAGCTCATACTGGCGATGTCAAGGTGAGTGGTTTACTTCATAGTGGGGAATTCTGTGCCTGAATTTTACCAATAGAATCGATAGGATCAGCGACCAAACCAACTTGTTATTGTGGGCTATTGGAGATGTTCTCGAACAAAACCGAAAAATGCAATTGGAAACATAAAACTGAATGCGCCTTTATGTAATTGTGATGTAAACCATAAACATTTTATACAAGTAGGTATTAATAAGGTGTTGTTTCGTCCTAATAGAACACGAATAAGCTATCATAGTTTGTGTGAACTTTTTATTTTTTGCTTCGCCACCCACAAGAGATATTGGCGTGAAGTAGAGTAAATTTGAAATCGATTCAACTCGCAGACAGAAAAAATGCCTGTAATATAAGTGTAACACATAAACATGTAGGTATTTATCGTGTACCCAAGTTCTATATCATGTAATATATATGTGTATCACGGCAAGTGTCCTGTTGAATTAGTGTCCCTTATCTCACCTTCCGCTTTCCTTTTAGAGCAGGAGGCGAACTTACTAAACAGAAAGTCATTCATTTCAATCATATTTTTATTCGAGGAGCTCTATGGTGCAAGTGGTTGGGGCATTCGTCCTGTCTCATATTTCTTTTTATTAAGTAACGAGTGCTATTCCTGTATTACTATCGCAAAGAAAGAAAGAGTGTCAACTTTAAATTTAATTAACGTCTCTAAGGCCCGTATTACAGAATGACAACTAGGTGTTGATCTTTACTTGAGTACAGTTAGAAAGGGATGTCGCTATGTGCTACATCCCTTTCTAACTATGCTCAAGACTAGATCAATCACTGAGAATCTTTCTATAATACGCCCCTAAGTCTTACTCTATAAGAGGCGAAAGAATAGCGGCTTTTTCGCTCGAATTGGAGGACCCGTCTGGAGAAGTAACCTCGACCTTATAGTTAATCATAGTAAAATAACACTACCTTTTGGTGGTGGTCCCCCTGACACAAGGGGGAGGCCCTATTGGGGGGGAGGGGACTTATTGGGACCAGGGGAGGCCGGCCATGTTAGGGATAAGATTAGAGAAACGGCCCTTTTCAGAGCCAGGGTGGGAGCACCACCCCGATGGAGTTTCGAGGAGCATTTTAAGCTCCTCACTTCACGGCTGTGTGCCGCTGCAACCGCACTCGGCAGGGTCCTCCCGAACGTGGGGGGACCAGGTACTGCGTGCCGTCGACTGTATCACGGGGTGATACGGTCGATGGCACTTTACGGAGCTCCGGTTTGGGCTGAGTGCCTCAAACCCCGCACGAGGGCCCTCTTGCGACGTCCGCAGAGGGTCATCGCGACCCGGGCCGTGCGGGCGTACCGCACGGTCAGCCACGGCGCCGCCTGCGTGCTCGCAGGCGCGACGCCGTGGGACCTCGATGCGCTGGTTATGGCAGAAATGCATCGAGGTCGGGTCGAGGCCAGGGAGCGGGGTGAAAGACTTGCCCCAGCAGAGCTGAGGCAGGTCCTTTCCATCGCCCAGAGCGAAGCTTTGCGGCGATGGGATGAGGCACTCGCCCATACTAGCGCCGGCCACCGGACGATTGAAGCCATTCGTCCGGTGTTGGAGGAATGGTTGGGTCGCCGGCGCGGCGGCCTCACGTTCCGCATGGTGCAGATCTTGACCGGGCATGGATGCTTCGGTCACTATCTGCACCGTGTCGCACGTCGGGAGGAGACGCCGCAATGTCATCATTGCGGCGCCCCGGACGACACGGCCGAGCACACCTTATTGGAGTGCCCGGCCTGGCGACACCAGCGCCGTGAGCTGATTGCGGCGCTGGGATGCGGAGCCCTCTCGCTGCGGAGCATGGTGGAGGCCATGCTCCGCAGTGACAGGGCATGGGAGGCGGCCGCCTCCTTCTGCGAGAACGTTATCTCGCAGAAGGAGGCGGCCGAGAGGGAGCGGGAGGATGATCCTCTGGCCGCTCCCTCCCGCCGAAGGAGGACGGGTAGGAGAGGACGGCGACGCGCCCTGGCTGCGCCCGTCCCATGACCCTACCCGGGGGGTCCCTCGACGGCAGCCCCCCCTTGTAGTTCTGTCCTGCAAAGAGGGGGGCGGCGGAGGGAGCTACACGGGCACGCCCAAGTAGCCCTCCGCAGCGGACGGGGGGCGGTTCGGTGGGCATTAGGCCGCGTACTCAACCCCCGCGCGCGGGCCTACCTGCGCACGTCTGCGGGGTCCCCGTGATACCCCGGGAGACCCCTGCCGTGGAGCCCCGGCTAGGCCGGGAGGCTGCTAGGTGCGGA